CCAACAGTGGCAGAAGTGCTTAACGGTGCCAGAAGTGCCACCAGTGGCAGAGATTGCCAACCTTGGCCGAAGCACCAACAGTGCGGGGGTGCCAACAGTGGCAGAAGCACCAACAGTGCCAGATGTGCCAACGGTGCCAGAAGTGCCAACAGTGCCAGAAGTGCCAACAGTGCCAGAAGCACCAACAGTGCCAGAAGTGCCAACAGTGGCAGAAGCACCAACAGTGCCAGAAGCTGCTGTTGAAGTGCCAACAGTGGCAGAAGTGCCAGTGGCAGAGATTGCCAGCAACAGTGGCAGAAGCACCAACAGTGCCAGAAGTGCCAACAGTGGCAGAAGCACCAACAGTGCCAGAAGTGCCAACAGTGCCAGAAGTGCCAACAGTGGCAGAAGCACCAACAGTGCCAGAAGCACCAACAGTGCCAGAAGTGCCAACAGTGGCAGAAGCACCAACAGTGCCAGAAGCACCAACAGTGCCAGAAGTGCCAACAGTGGCAGAAGTGCCACCAGTGGCAGAAGTGCCAACAGTGGCAGAAGCACCAACAGTGCCAGAAGTGCCAACAGTGGCAGAAGCACCAACAGTGCCAGAAGTGCCAACAGTGCCAGAAGTGCCAACAGTGTCAGAAGTGCCAACAGTGGCAGAAGCACCAACAGTGCCAGAAGTGCCAACAGTGCCAGAAGCACCTACAGTGCCAGAAGTGCCAACAGTGGCAGAAGTGCCACCAGTGGCAGAAGTGCCAACAGTGGCAGAAGCACCAACAGTGGCAGAAGCACCAACAGTGGCAGAAACGTTCCACCCTCTTCATCTACCCTTCCACTCCTGACTTTTCAGCTGACTCACCATCCCCAGTATACGGTCGGCCACCTGACTCACCATCCCCAGTATACGATCGACCACCTGACTCACCATCCCCAGTATACGGTCGGCCACCTGACTCACCATCCCCAGTATACGGTCGGCCACCTGACTCACCATACTCAGTATACGGTCGGCCACCTGACTCACCATCCCCAGTATACGATCGACCACCTGACTCACCAACCCCAGTATACGGTCGGCCACCTGACTCACCATCCCCAGTATACGATCGACCACCTGACTCACCATCCCCAGTATACGGTCGGCCACCTGACTCACCATCCCCAGTATACGATCGACCACCTGACTCACCATCCCCAGTATACGATCGACCACCTGACTCCGTAAACGGTCGGCCACCTGACTCACCATACTCAGTATACGGTCGGCCACCTGACTCACCATCCCCAGTAAACGGTCGGCCACCTGACTCACCATCCCCAGTATACGATCGACCACCTGACTCACCCCATCATCCAAGGACGACTTGGCTGCCTCGCGACCTTGACTTTGAAATGGCAGTTTCTTGTTTGCTCAAAGTGGCGTCCAGTCGTGGTATTTATGGCGCTGTTCCATTTTAGAGGAGTCGTTTGTCGCGGGTGTGGGTGAATGTGTCGTGTGTTTCCCTGCCACCACCAACACACTTTGTCCTTGCTACAAATTAAAGCTTTTTCTCCTACTTTTTTTTCGCGTTTGAATTTAAGTTAGGTTAGTTTACGTTAGGTTACGTTACGTTACGTTAGGTTAGGTTAGGTTACGTTAGGTTAGCATTAGGATGTATAATCAACTGGCGAAATAAGTTGAAGTTCCAAATCTCGTTGTCTAGAGAAATATTCCATCATTTGTGGATATATGCTTACACACGCACACACACACACACATACATACATACATACACACACACACACATACATACATACACACACCTTCATTAACTGTGTACTAAATAAACAATGGCGTTATACACAGACAGCAACACATCTCTAAGTGACAAAATAATTCTAGTTAGTGGTTGATGTTCTACTTATTATTGTTAGTGGTTGATGGTCCACTTATTATTGTTAGTGGTTGATGGTCCACTTATTATATTTAGTGGTTGATGGTCCACTTATTATTGTTAGTGGTTGATGTTCTACTTATTATTGTTAGTGGTTGATGGTCCACTTATTATTGTTAGTGGTTGATGGTCCACTTATTATATTTAGTGGTTGATGGTCCACTTATTATTGTTAGTGGTTGATGGTCCACTTATTGTTGTTAGTGGTTGATGTTCTACTTATTATTGTTAGTGGTTGATGTTCTACTTATTATTGTTAGTGGTTGATGGTCCACTTATTATTGTTAGTGGTTGATGGTCCACTTATTAATGTTAGTGGTTGACTGCTCCACTTATTATTGTTATTCGTTGATGGTCCATTTATTATTGTTAGTGGTTGATGGTCCACTTATTATTGTTAGTGGTTGATGCTCCACTTATTATTTTTAGTGGTTGATGCCCCTGTTGTTAGTGGTTGATGCTTCTATTGTTAGTGGTTGATGCTCTTCTTATTATTGTTAGTGGTTGATGCTCCACTTATTATTGTTAGTGGTTGATGGTCCACTTATTATTTAGTGGTTGATGGTCCACTTATTATTGATAGTGGTTGATGGTCCACTTATTATTGATAGTGGTTGATGCTCCACTTATTATTAATAGTGGTTGATGCTCCACTTATTATTAATAGTGGTTGATGCTCCACTTATTATTGGTAGTAGTTGATGGTCCTTATTATTGATAGTGGTTGACGCTCCACATACTAGTTTCAGCTCCTCGTCACAGCTTCGAGGCGCCCTTGGTCGACCATCACCTCAACCACCGCTAAAACCACCAACATAACTCAGGCGGATATTGTTGTCTAACTTCTCGAAGCAGAAATATTACGGTCGTCAAAACTCTTCTCGCCTAAGAGAGAGAGAGAGAGAGAGAGACGGAACGAGAAAAATATAAATATGTGGAAAGAGATAGAGAGAGGGAAAGAGACGGAGAGAACGAGAGGCTTAAGGTGGAGAGCGAAACTGATAAAAAATGGCAGATGGAAAAGGGTAGATTGATTACTAGACAGACAGATATTGAGTGAGTGAGATTGAGAGAGACATTGATGGATCGAGAAGGTGCGTGAGAGAGAGAGAGAGAGAGAGAGAGAGAGAGAGAGAGAGAGAGAGAGAGAGAGAGAGAGTGTTCCCGTCTGCCTGCCGCTTCTCTCCCTCCTCCCCGCTTAGTTTACACCGCCATTCTAAATCTTTCGTCCTTAATCAAATTTATGGGAATCGTAGGCGTGAATTTCCCTAACAAGGCTGAGAGAGAATTTTGACATTATATTACGGCCACTGACAGAAGTTACGGCTAAAAATACGTCGTGTTTTTTGTTTTCGACTAAATATTTTGAAATTTACAGCGAGTTATATTACAGAAGGGGAGAATATTTGAGGATCTACACCATTATAGGAGAATTATCTTAATTGTTAGTATATTGGGAGTAAATCGCGTATCTTCGTATCACACTTAGGAAGGTATTTGTGTGTGTATCTCGTGTTAATTTATGTGCTAGTTTTCTTTTATTGTTATTAACCCTTTAGAGGGCAGGACTTCCTGAAAGCTTAATAAAATCGTCTTGCGTTAGTTAAAATAAAATACCTACAATACGTGCTACGTTACCCTCTAATGGGATAGTAATATGATCACTGCATTATTGTCATAATTTTTGGCTATTGATATTTTGTTGTTATTATTATTATTATTATTATTATTATTATTATTATTATTATTATTATTATTATTATTATTATTATTATTATTATTATTATTATTATTATTATTATTATTATTATTATTATACATAATTAAAATAAAAAAATACTACTACTATTAATAATAATAATAAACAGACCATCATTTGTACAGTATGCTGTGATGTATCAAATTAAAGCCTCGCCAGCATATTTCCCTAAAGACACGCTTGAAAATTGCACTGCCAGACCAGTGACCTAGATGACCAGTCTCCCTTGAGGCTATTGTGAGTGTGTGAGAGAGAGAGAGAGAGAGAGAGAGCGAGCACTATTCCCTCCCTGATTACAAACTTGTGTAGGTTGTATATTTGGTGCATAAACTAATTTAAACTAAAGCATAAGTTTATTATAAAAAAAAGTAATGTTACACCACAAACAGTGAAGATACCACGACCTGGATGGTGCCGTGTGTGTGTGTGTGTGTGTGTGTGTGTGTGTGTGTGTGTGTGTGTGTGTGTGTGTGTGTGTGTGTGTGTGTGTGTGTGTGTGTGTGTGTGTGTGTGTGTGTGTGTGTGTATAAGTGAGCGATGTAGTGTCAGGTGTATGAATGAGTGATGTAGTGTCAGGTGTATGAGTGAGCGATGTAGTGTCAGGTATATGAGAGCGATGTAGTGTCAGGCGTATGAGTGAGTGATGTAGTGTAAAGTTAGACCAAAAAAAAAAAACTACAAAAATTCTAAAACTATTCCGTGGTTGCATAACGATTCAATAACAAGTTACCATTCTAATTAACCTAAACAAATTGGGCATCTCAGCTGAGGTTTAATTTACACCCAGTGCCAACATCCATAACTCCCAGGTGACACTTGTACCTGGATGTGAGTGTTTATTACATCCACCTATAATAGTGAGAGTCATTCACCTGAGGCTCACCATCACCTATACCACCACATATATATATATATATATATATATATATATATATATATATATATATATATATATATATATATATATATATATATATATATATATATATATATTGTGTGTGTAAAACTTAATCTCAAACAGCTTAAATTAATCTCACCTAAAACTCTCTTAACCTAACCAAATACACGCTAACCTAATCTAATCTGACCTAATCTTACCTCTCCTAACCTTATCAATACCAAATTTACCTAACCTAAGGGAACTTAAACTAACCTAACCTTACTTCACATACCCTAACTTGACCTATCTAACTAACTTCACATAAACCTAACCTAAGTTACCTAACTAACTTCACATAAACCTAACTTAACCTACCTAACACTCTTCAAAAGCCTTAATTAATCTAATCTTGCTTCACATAAACTAGTTTAACATGTATTTTTTGCAGGTCGTTCATCGTGGTCGTCAACAGAATGCTTCAAGCTTCAGGTGATGGTGCGGTCTGCTGAGTGTGGTGAAGGGTCTCTGTGCTCAGGGAAGGGCGCCTGTTACACCAAACCTGACATGGTGAGTCTTGTACTACCCTATGTGCTAACACTTATGCTACCACCCTTGTACTACCAGATTGTACTAACACAATTGCATTCGATGGGTAAGGGGAGACAGAAATAAATGCGCTAAATTTCTTTATTCCACCCATCAAATCCACTTGTCGTCGTTGTTCGATCACGCTAATGTATTACTCGATGTATTACTATCCTTGTTGTGCTATTACTTTTGTAATTCCATTCTTGTACTATTACTAAGTCTCGGTACATACAATCAAAATAGTTTTTTTGACGTTTGGGCCCGACGAACTTCAAAATGAACACTGCGACTCCTCTTGTCTCGGTAGGGTTGTCAAAATCCTTCGTTCGTTGTCATATTGTCTCACACCAAATTGTATAGATGCTTTTTTTTATTGTGCTGTACACAAGGAGGTAATGTGGCCTTCACTACACTCGACTATCTTCATATTCCAGAGTGTAAAAGTGACCTAGGTTGTCCTCGGGCATGTTAAGCGACCATCAGGACAGAAGGTGAACACAGTCTCAACTCTGCCTCTCAAACACTGTCAGATGCAAGAACACATGACTGAAAAGATTTAATACAATACTATGGATAGTATCTCGTTAAGGTTCTCATATGACATTTGTAAATTGTCTGTGTGAGGGACGTTCATGCCGCCATTGTTAAGTTAGTGGTTGTCCTTCGTTATAATGATTGTGAGCTTGACTGTTTGTGTTGAATCTTGTAGCGTCTGATGTATTTTTATGGCTCTGAGGACATATGGTTCATACCACAGAAAAAAAGTTATATGTGCATAGCACTGACTGAAGATTTATCGGATCACCTTGAAATTAGACCCGGCAGGCTGCTTAATTCACGTCTTGAAGGTTAACCACCCTAATTCTACCTGGTGAAGTTAGGTTAAGTTAACATTAGGTTAGGTAAGTTTTAGGGTGATTCAACTTCGGGTGAAATAATCTGGTGTATCTAATCTTCAGGTGAGTCGGTTTATTTATTTTGTGTGTGTGTGTGTTCCTGAAACTACCTGAAAAGTGCCACTGCGTTCGATATGTATGACGCCCAGTTAGGTACAGTATGGATACATCATGCTAAGCCTTTGGTACACAATGAGGCAGTGTGGCCGGCACTCTACTCGACAGTTCACTTCCCAACTGTAAAATTAAGTGCCCATTGGCAGATGGGCGGACTGGGAATACACCGGGATCGAATCAGCGACCCTTAGGACAGAATGTCTCTGTATTCACTTGTCCATCGTACACCTTGCTATTTATGATCTGCAGACAGTACACTCGGCTGCCCTACACCATTAATGACCTGCTGACAATACACTAGGCTGCCACCATTAATGACCTGCAGACAATACACTAGGCTGCCCTGCACCATTAATGACCTGCGGACAATACACTCGGCTGCCCTGCACCATTAATGACCTGCTGACAATACACTAGGCTGCCCTGCGCCATTAATGACCTGCTGACAATACACTAGGCTGCCCTGCGCCATTAATGACCTGCTGACAATACACTAGGCTGCCCTGCGCCATTAATGACCTGCTGACAATACACTAGGCTGCGCTGCACCATTAATGACCTGTAGACAATACACTAGGCTGTTCTGCACCATTAATGACCTGCAGACAATTCACTAGGTTGTCCTGCACCATCCATGATCCTCTAACAGTACATTAGATTCTTCAAGCGCAATTAATGACCTGACAACGCCCCATTAATGTTGCCCCGCACTCAGGGGCTCCACCAATATTCACTGACATCTCTTTCACCTTTAACACAGTGTCCGCTTTGTTCTTGGCTGCAGTGGACACAAAGGAACAACCAACACGATCATCAGCGTTGCTCTTTTAAACACTAAAATCAAATGATGAATCAGAGTTGCGCAAGTGATGTTAGTTTCCATTTTGCTTTTATCTACTAAATTCTGATAAATAAACATAGGCCTTTGAGCTCACAGATTGTCTAATTTCCAAGTTAAATCTACAATTACAACTGATGAAGAGTAGTGTGTTTCACAGCAGATTGAAAACCAGTGCGTATCATTTGATGAGAACACCCCGCCTCGCCTCTGATGTTTGCTCATCTGCTAAATGTCCCTCACTGAGGCTATTTTACTACACAATTGTGTTAAAATTTTCGACTTAATGTAGCAGCTCTGGTGACAAAGACGATTGGCATAATAAAAATGATCTGTTTCCTGAGGCATATTTCAGCCGGCAAGTTGACGCACATCAAATACAGGGTGTCTCAGAAAAAATGTATGCACACTTGCCTTGCCTATTTTCGTAGAGACCAAACTGTCAATTCTCAATAGTTTCGGAGTTACAGCACATGACCTGCTGATGAAACCTACAGTATATGGGGTGTATATGAAGCATCCAATACACTGTGCTGGTGACGCTTATTGACAATACTAATACCATATGATTTGTATTGGTATTAACATTTAGAGGAAATGTTCAAGTTCCGCCCCTCTTGCTCAATGCAGGCCTCAGCCCGTCGCACTAGTGAGTGTCACACACGTTCACAGACCCCAGGGGTGTTGAGAATATTAGTCACACTGTCCTGTACACGGCGCCACAATTCCTCATGGTTTGCGAGCCTCTGTAACATACACCTTGCTTTATATGTGACCCAACAGGTAGAAATCAAGGGGATTTATGTCAGGTAACCGTAGGTTTCATTACATTCCTATCAAACCTGTCATGTGATGTAACTCTGAAACTATTGAGAATTGACAATTTGGTCATTTAGTAATTTATCTTTATTTATGTCTCAGGAATACACCCCTGGATTTTTAAAGGTATTTACGAAACACTCTGTGTGTGTGTGTGTGTGTGTGTATATATATATATATATATATATATATATATATATATATATATATATATATATATATATATATATATATATATATATATATATATATATATATATATATAAATAAATCATATGTCTGTCTGTCTGTCACCTCCACAAGCTATAGGGACCCTACTCATACTGGCACAACTAATCTGACATCAATTAGTGTTTTTTCCTAAGCTGTGATAAGCCAAGGTAACGTAACACCTGAGTATCATGATTCAGTCCATTGAGTAAGATATCTTTAACCCCCTAAGTATGATAACTTAACCCCTCAAATACAATAACTTGACCTCTTAAGTAGTATACCTTAACTCCTTAAGTACGATAACTTAGCTCCTTAAATGTGATAACCTGACACTTTAAGTATAGTACGATGTTTTATCCCTACTAGTATGATAACCTTAGCTTTTTACCACGTATTCAATTATGTCGTCGTGCTGAAGGAACTAAGTCATCGTACTCAATTAAGACATCGTACTCGGGTTAAGTCATCGTAATCTAAATATTGTCATCATACTTTAAGGGTTAAGACATCGGGCTCAAAAAGCTAAGCCATCATACTGAAGGGAATAAGTCGTTGCATTCAAGCGTTAAGTTATTTTATTCAAGGGGTTAAATCATCGTACTCAAGGGGTTAAGTCATCGTACTCATAGAGATAAGTCATCGTTCTAGGGTTTAAGTCATCTTACTCAAGGGACTAAATCATCGTATTCAATGGGTTAAGTTATTATACTTAAAGAATTAATTCATAGTATTCTACTGTAGATATTAACTGGTATTCCCCAAACTTCCCGCTTATTGTATAACTTCACGTGTGCCCTTCCTCGTCGCTCCAGCTCGCCTCTTACGACTGCGACCGAAGTTTGATACCAGCTCGGGTAGGATGTGGTGTGTTGTTGTCTGCAGTGTAACCTTGCCGAATATGACCGGTTTTCTCCATTTCCTTTTAAAAACGTCACCTTCGATGTCCTGTTGATGATGTTACATGATGTTTTGTTACTAAAATAAAACAAAGTACATATTATTTTTTTCCATTTGTTAATTGATAAGGAAACGCTTAGATATATGAATAAATAAGTGATTTATACATAACGTATAGCTCTCTCCCGCACCATTACTGTTTTACGAGCGAAGTAAAAATTGATGGAATTTTATTTTATTTGCATGGATCATTTTTATTTCGGCTAAAATAAAAAAATAAAAATCACGTGTACTAAAAAATAGTCTGTGTGTAGTAAAAAAAATTTATATAGAAAAAAATAGTGAAATGCTAATGAACGGTAGAAATTTCGTTTTTAAGTTGAGAGAAACGTCATTAAACTGGCGGAAGTTGAGCCCTCAGGAGGCGGAAGCTGTTATGACAAATACCACGACTTGGAACAAAGCCACCAGAAAAAAGCCACAATTAATAGAGCCAGAATAAGTAATGTAGATATTATAGCCATTGCAGACTATGTAGGTATTAAAGCCACTCTGTAGTATATCGGTTTTAAATCCACTCTGAATTATGTAACTATTAAAGCCGCTCTGAATTATGTAGGTATTAAAGCCATTCAGAAGTATGTAGGTATTAAAGCCATTCAGAATTATGTAGGTATTAAAGCCACTCTTGAAATATCTAGAAATTAAAGCCACTCTGACTTATGTAGGTGTTAAACCACTCTGGCCTATTTAAGTGTTTAAGCCACTTTGAACTATGTGGGTATTAAAGCCACTCTAGATTGTGAACTGTATGTAATATATTCACTGATTTTTGTACCCTAGTTAATAAAGATACAACTTTTGGCAATAATGCCACTCCAACTTATGCACCCTAAACAAGGAAGCCACTCCACACAGTGTACCAACTGCTATTAATTTGCTGTCACTCGGAATCGAGTATGACGATCATCCAGCTATGATATAATGATACGAGTTATTCAGGAAGTCGTCTGTTTAGGAGGACTTGGGCGATAATCTTGCCGGCCACGGACAGCAGCGAAATCCTACGGCAGATGCCACAGTCTGACCGGTCTCCCTTGTTCTTATAAATGTTGACAAGGCGTCTTTAAGATCTGGGAGATTTCCTCCTTCTCCTATATATTCTCCAGGATACAGTGAAGACGGCTGGTAAGAAGAGG